ATATATATATATATATAGATATAGATATATATATTTAGTCTAAATTGTGTAAAAAAACAGGTCTGTCTGCAATACTCACCTCCAAGCTGGTGCTGTGCCCGCGGTTCTCTTTTTTGCAACAAGATGCCCTCAGTCTTCCAGGTTGGATAGACTGAGGGCAAACTGAGTCCAGGGCATCATGGACACGCCTCCTGTGGCCGTGTCACCATGGCACTCTGCATTCGCTATGTAGGTGTAGGGAACAAGGCTAATGTCATAATATCAGCACCACTCTCTGCATAGAGGCGAAAAAAGGACCCTATGGGGCTGATTTAGAAATGTTTTGGATGGATACACTAGATGGCGCTGACGAGTATATACATTTCTTATGCTCATTAGCGCCATCTGGTGGCAGCCCCTATGAGTCATGTGGGTGCCCTTTTCAGGCTTTTATTCCTTTATTTTCACCTGGTGATCCTGCCGATGTCACTTCCTGTCCTAGGGTGACAACACTCACCCACTGTACTATATCTACTGTATAGTTTTCTTTGCTCTGGCTAATTACATCTCCTCCAAATACAGAAAACAGTAGCTGATCCTGCCAGAATTCCTGTGTCCTTGTTACTTCCTGTTCACTAAACTGAAATCTCTAACAATATTAATAGACGTCTGCTCATTTATCATACGGTATAAAGGAGTTGTGTTGTCACTCTAGGACAGGACTACAGAACCCCTCCATGTTATGGAGACTAGGAGATAGAGTGACAATGCTGCGCCCCTGTAAATAAATTATTGTAAGTGAGCATTGTTGCCCTAGGACACGACTACAGAGCACCTCCCTCTCTCCTCTACTCCATAACATGTCTTGGTGTGTGTGTGTGTGTGTGTGTGTGTGTGTATTATCTATAGCTCCTCTATAGATACGGGACTACAGAACTCCTCCCTCTCTCCTCTTTTCCATAACATGTAGGGAAGTTCTATAGTCCTGTCCTAGAGTGACAACGCAGATAGAGTATGATGAGTGAGCGTTGTCACCTTAGGACAGGAATACAGAACCTCTCTTTCCTCTTCTCCATAACATGGGTGGCTAGCTCTTTTAGTCCTGTACTAGAGTGACAACGCTGCTCCTCCATAGATAAAGTACAGTGAGTGAGCGGTGTCACCCTAGGACAGGACTGCAGAACCACTCTCTCCTTTTCTCCATAACATGGGTGGTGGGATCTTTTAGTCCTGTACTAGAGTGACAACGCTGCTCCTCTATAGATACAGTACAGTGAGAGTGTTGTCACCCTAGGACAGGACTGCAGAACACCTCCAGATTCTGTCTGCTCCAGTTTTGATCTATTCCCCTTACTGTATTTTTTACACGCACTGTTTTCAGAGCACTTGATGGCACCGGAGGTCACCACACCAAACCCCAATCAAGTGTGCACTGTGTACATTGTCAATAAAGTTAAAAAGAAAAAAAGTAAAGAGTCTGATGCACTTAAACACCCCACCCCAGCCAGGTCTCACTCAGACGTCTAAAGAGCATTTTAGTGAGGCTGGTGTGTACATAATCTTACACAATGCAAGCTAATTTGTAACACGAGGCGCGGTAACACAATGTAACGCCAAGGCGTGACGGGGCCTACAACAAACCTCAGTTATGGTATGAGGTGTCAAGCCTAAACACGAGTGTCACTTTAAGGGCTGGTTCACATCCACCTGCACATTAAAACTGCTACAGCAAGGGGTGTGCACACTCTGGCCCTCCAGCTGTGGTGAAACTACAAATCCCACAATGCATATCCCTGGGTGTCATGCCTGTGGTTGTGAGAGTCGTGCAATGCCTCATTGGATTTATAGTTCCACCACAGCTAGAGGACACCTGCACTACAATGTGAGGCACAGTTTACTTTTTTTTTTAAACTTTACTGAAAAGTCACAAAATTACATCACTTGTATCAAATAGCAGCAAAGCGGTGTCATGAGGTATGTAATGGTGGGAACAGGGGACACAGAAAACAATGCGTGCCTGGGCGTCCAGTCATCTGTGTGGTATGAATGAGCCCTAAAAAGGTAAGAGCACTTTTCCTTCTTACCCTCTTCCCTAACCTAACCTGCCCCTCCCCCTCTACAAATATATACTTACCTCTATCCAATGGCTGCGGCCTTTGTTGTTTATTTACATCCAGTGCCAGTAATCGTCATTGCCCTGGCCTCGCCCGTAAATTACAGCCCTATATACTGCTATGGGACCATCTCCGATCGTCTCAGGACACAGCCTCATAAAAGTCTATGAGGGAATTCATCAAAACACGAGAAGACAGTCATCCACAGCAACCAATCAGCTTCTCTGTTTCATTTTCAAAGCTTAACTGAACAAACTGAAGAGAGAAGCTGATTGGTTGCTATGGGTAACTGCTCCAGTTTTAATGACTCCCCCTTGTGCAGATAGGACGCTGGATGTAAACAAACAGCTGCAGCTCCCGGGTTTCCAGGTAAGTATGCATCTGTGGAGGAGGAGACAATTCAAAGGGCACAGTGCATAACGTGACATGCCGAGTTCAGATCACAGGCTGCCGCAATGTGGACGGTCCAGAGCAGCTGCCATGTTGGTTTGCAGGTGTGCGTTCTGACCCTTGAATCTTAGTGTTACTTCCCGCTCTGTGCAGTAATCCAGCAATAAAGACCGGTCACTGCTGCTCTCTCTCCTTGTGCAGGATGACTGGTCTTGTCTCCGCCCCTCCTGTAATAAAGACCGATCACTGCTGCTCTCTCTCCTTGAGCAGGATGACTGGTCTTGTCCCCGCCCCCTCCTGTAATGAAGACCGGTCACTGCTGCTCTCTCTCCTTGTGCAGGATGACTGGTCTTGTCTCCGCCCCTCCTGTAATAAAGACCGGTCACTGCTGCTCTCTTTCCTTGTGCAGGATGACTGGTCTTGCCTCCGCCCCTCCTGTAATAAAGACCGGTCACTGCTGCTCTCCCTTCCTTGTGCAGGGTGACTGGTCTTGTCTCCACCCCTCCTGTAATAAAGACCGGTCACTGCTGCTCTCCCTCCTTGTGCAGGGTGACTGGTCTTGTCACCGCCCCCTCTCTAGTGGGTGGGACCTTCGGAGTTCTCTGAACAGGTTATGTGCAGCACAGTGATGATGTCACTGCTACTTTAACAAGGTAATAACCGGCTTTGAATGACACACACAGCTGATTTCTATGCTTTGCAGCTCTTGAGGAGTCAGTTCCTGTGTCTGGAGTTCAGCGTCTCCCTTATCAGCCACCTATGTGCTCTGTAGGAGGAAGAGGAGAGCTGAGTGCAGATCCTTATCAGCATTATAGAGCACACTATAGGAAGTCACAGGACTGGCACAGTGGAGTGATCTGCCGTGCAGGATGTATGATCAATCACTAGACCATCCGCACCGATCACCGATACAACCAGAGCACATGTGTATATGATTAATAATAACATGTACAGACAAGCCCCGCCCCTCTACCTGGACCCCATTACCTGCAGAGGAGTGGGCTCCGCCCCCCCGTCCGCCGAGGACAGCTGTACGGTGACCAGAGCCATGACCATACCCCGAGTCTTCCGTACACCTCCTCCGCCGCCTGTCTATCTGTCCCCCGGGAGAAGACTGTCCACCGCTGCACTCTGTCTGAGAGTCAATCAGGAAGAAGTCAAGGCCCCGCCCCCGGGGAGGAGCCAGAGACTCGCAGAAGTATGTAAGGGGGAAGAGAGAGCGCGGAGAAAGTGACATGGCCCTAAAAGGAGGGGAAGAGCCTGGAGGGGGGGAAGGGATCCGCACACACTCAGCAGGGTTTATGGCAGGTCCTAGGGACAGGGAGGGTCACCAGGTTCCTGTGTGTGAGCGCAAGGAGGGGTCCGAGCTGACATGACACAGACCAATCTCACCACACACCATGCAATCTGATTGTACATCCAACAAGGGCCTCTCTGATTGGACAAACTTTGATTGCATGAATTGGTCAGGTCCTCATACACTTTACAGTATAATCTCTGCACAACCAACTTCAGATCAACCTAATACACAACAAATCTGCATACAATCAAGCCGACATATTTGCTGGAAGAGCTACAAGAGATTGTACAATCAGATTGTAACGTGTGGTGGCTGCATTCATTTCCCCCCCCCCCCTTTTTTTTCAAC